GACATTAGCAGGATATGAACCCTTAACAGTTCCTGTGGGTCTGCTTCCTTTGCTGGGGCAACCTCGAGTGTGGGCCATTAATCATACTCCTTCCCATTCTGACTTATGAAATGCTTTGGTTTTAATTTATTTATATATTTTTATTTTCTTTAAGATTCATAGGTTTAACTGAACTTGAGCCCTGCCTGAAAACTGAAGTTTACATAGTTTTTATTATGTACATAAACTAGTGATTTACATTGATTTACACATGATTGGTGCCTAATTTATTAATCAGCACACAGTATGTAAATATGCTGAAAGGAAATCAAGATTTTAAAATAAGTTTTCCATAATATTCATAAACATTTGCACTGGTGTAGTATCAAATCTAAACCTAATGTTGACACCAGCTTCCATGCCAGGGGGAAAGTAATGGGCATTGCTGGGTGAAAAATTCTTTCTTGAATTTCAGTTCGCCACATTTGACAGCAGAGCTACATACAAATGAGAATGGTTTGCCTCTATTTCACTAGTATGCACACATAAATGTAAACTTCATTTTGCATTTTAGGGAAACATACAGATATTATGCCAACCATGGTGGAGAATTTATATCACTGGGGCAAAAGCAGTCTTTGGAAGATAAATATTTTGAATACTTAAGAAAGAGGAGGCTTTCTAAACTGATTTGCATTTCTTAATTCAGGCTCTTATCTCACTATTTTATGATATATTTAACATTTGTCCCAAAATAATAGTAGTTTTTATGGGTCAGGTAATTGCATGATACTTTTATTTTTAGAAAAACGATAGTTAATGAGAACCCAGACTATATCTAAGCCAAAATTTTATGAAGAGAAAAATAAAGTCATGGTTAATCCCATGAAACATGGTTTGTGAGAAAATTGCTTTGAAACAAATTGGAAAAAAAAATGGGGCTCCATGTTTTTCTAAATGAATCATAGCTCTTTTTTTTAAACCAAATTCAGTACTTTTCTTCATTTTAAGTTTAAACCATTATTCTAGAGTCTTCTAATACACATACAATTGTAAATATAGTATCTGTAAAGATAAGATTAAAAGCAATACATACACACATATATTATTTTTCCACAAACAATTCAAGACCTGAAAAAAACAAAATAGAAATTCTGGGAGACAAGCCAATAGAAACAGTCAAACCACAACCAATCTGGGGATGGAAACTGCGACTCTGGAGTTGCTTATAAGCTAACAACTCAGTAGGTGATAACTCAGATGCAATTTCATGCTGAGGAGTTTAGTTTTTGTGTGCAAAGGAGGTAAATCCATTTTTGGAGGAGAAACACATTTTTGTTTCTGTCCTCCAAGAACATGAAAATCACGAGTACTTTTACAAGGTCTCTATGAATAGCCCCAGTTGTCTGAATATGTAGTTTTTAAAAATGCCCATGACAAGGGTGAAGTCTGGCTGACTTAGAAGAGAAGGCAAAGGTCAATGGGACGATTCTTTCCAACAGAAAACTTGATGATTTTCCCATCAGCCTCAGTTCTTTAAAGGTAGAGGGATATTATATGTCAAAACAAGTAAGACAAAAACCTTCTGATGAACAATTGTCCAGAGGATGCATTTCTGCAGTTGTAAAACCTAGGATTAGTTCTCATTCTTCAGGATGTGCCCTGGGTCAAGGGTATTTCTGCTTTTTTAACAGGAAATCAAATTTAATGATTTTGTTTTATGAAGGTGTGGTTCATTTTGCATACAAAGAACATCAAACCTATTAGCCATTCAGATTAATTGATGCATTTCACCCCTCTCAGAGTATTGATACTGACAAGTTGTTTATTTTTTGGTTTAGTGTTTAAGCTTTGATTACCAATGGACAGGATTCTTAAGTGGATTTTATAGCAATATGATAAGCTGATGATCTAAATTTCATAAGTCCTATGTTCAAACTCAGTTTCTTGGTGACAGTCTGCTGGCTTCTTCATTATTTTTTATTTTTTTATTTTAATTTTTCTCCAATCTGTATTCTGCATTCTTCACACCTATAAGATTTCTTGGGTCACTGTTTGCTATGAAACAGGAGCCAGAGTGAATTTTTTAAATCCCTAGCTCTTGCCAGAAATATATGCAAACACCACAATATCCAGTATATGTTTAATTTGTGTTTAATATAAGGTTCATATTAAAACTCAGGAACAAATGGTGCTGACATGGCAAAGACATTCCTTTCAATGGAATATCTCCTTCCATAAAACCAAGACCTTGTCTTTATGATAGGGTAGGGACAAAAAGAAATCTAGGTGTATGATTAAAATCTGTGACATGCCACTGAGATCTGTTCCTGAAACTGACACTAAACTGAATTAAGTCCCATTACTTTTCTCTTCTTACATATCTTTAAATTAGCATGAACTTTTGTGAAGCTTCCACTTAAGGATATGGCTGGCTCTTCAAAAATATGGGGAACATTCATCATGGATGGTAAACGTTTAATCTTGTACTAAGAAGACCAAAATGTAGAGAAAGTTCTGATTGTCAGTAAGTTGATGCTACATAGGAACATGGCAACCTCCCCTGTATTTTAGTAGTTACTGGATTTGCCACAAACACTCTCACAGATCCCTAAGCCCAATTTGTTCTTCAATTTTATGCTTAACTGAAAAATCATAAAAGAAGGTTGGTGATAAACTTCTAAAATAAAATAAAATCTCTCAGAAGAGATGAAAAATACTGCTTATCAAGGCAATTGTTATGATCATAGACTCATCACAAAAAGCCTTCAATTAATAAAATCTATCAAGATGAATTTCCCTTCCTTTCCTTCCTTCCTTCCTTCCTTCCTTCCTTCCTTCCTTCCTTCCTTCCTTCCTTCCTTCCTTCCTTCCTTCCTTCCTTCCCTCATTTCTTCCTCTCTTCCTTTGTTGATTTGCAGTTCTAAAGTTTCCCATTTTACATTACATGACAGCTATTTTTCAGATTTCAAAAGTTGGTGAGGTACTATATCTGGCTCTGCTAAAATATTGTCAATTATGACCTCAATAATAATCCTCTGTCCTTTTGTAAACTCAGTCACTTCTAATGTCACCTATAAGGGTTGGTTTCCTGACAAAGCTACCTACACACACAGAGCCAGCTCTCTCCGCAAGATCTTTCCTAAGAAAATCCTTCTGATGTTGTGATGATGACAAGCTTTGTGTTAATCATACAACTTTGTGTAAATTATTACAAGTTTCCCAGCTTTTTTGGTTAAGACACTCTCGTTTCAGTGTTAATGGCAAGATGGTGCTTGTAGATGTGGACTTAAACAGCATATTCCCCACTGTATCTTTTTCAGGAAACTAGAAGCCAAAAGTGAGCAGGGAAATTGGAATATAATTCCATTCCCAATGGCCTGGCCATGAATAAAGATGAACTACTATGACCAATGTTGTTGCAGACACCATCAGTGGAACAGGAGCGAGATAATGTGGGCAACCAAATAAAGTCTTAGCCTAGAAAACCAGGACAAAAGTTTGCAAAGGAGCACAGGAGTTGATTCCTTTTTGTTATGGTCAATGCATTGTATTGAGTTCTGTCAGCATCTCTACAATTTGAATAAGGATCTGAGCCCCTGCTCACTTTTCCTGCTTCACTCACTCTCACATATTCTGTCTGAAATAGGAAACAATCTCTGCTCAGGGGAATCTATGGGCAAATGCAGTGTTATTTGAAGATTAGGGAGGGAGCAAAACAGGCTTGCTTAGGATCTCCAGATGGCTCCTCCTCTTGCATTGGGAGTTAACAGTGGGAGACCTTCCTGCATCTGGGGATTTCCTCAGCACCCTGCAGCAGAGCAGGACCCAGCCTGCAACAAGCCAGCAAACCTATGAATCCCTCAGACTCATGGAACAAGAGTAAAATCAGAAACCTTCTCTCCTAGGTCGCCTCATCCACATCACCGATTTTCTCTACTGTTTGCTCACCCCATCACTAATAGGCACTTTCATTGACAGTGATATTCTGAGTGACTCCTGACTGGGTTCTGATGATTGGACTAGGAGAAAGATGAGGTTCTGCCCTCAGGAGGGGCACAGCATGGTGTGAACACACACCGATGTCATGTGACAGCCATGGATGGGGAAGGGCCCTGCTCCTGGCCTCCTTCCCCACCCTGCCCCCAGCAATGTGTCACAGCTGTGTCTCACAATTACAAATGCAGGACAATATCTACAGCACAAAGTCTATGTACACATGGACCATTCCCTTGGCATGCTTGAAAGAGGCACACACACACACGCACACACATGTACACCCACGTGAGAGCGAGAGACGCGAGCACACACGCACAGCAGAGAAAATTAAAATGGCACTTCCTAGCATTTGTGGCATGACTAGTGTTCAGGATGGTGGGAGTGAAGAGAAGTGTGTGTAGGAGGTGGAGATATAAAAGGGGGTATCTGGGATGAATGTGGGGAGCTAGAACACACCGGAGTGGGAGGAGATGTTCTTAAAAGTTGGTGATAGTGGAGGCAGAAAGCCAGAGAAAGGCTCAACACAGGACTCCGCTTGGATTCCACTGATAGTCTCAAATGGTTATGAGTCAGCTCAAATGAAAACAGAGGAAAAAGTTGATGGCAATATACACACAAAGGCAAGACCTTGTTTCTTTTCCCCTCACGATGAAAAAAGATGAAGGAAGGATCAAGTGTGTGGGGGAGTTAATATCCATCTGGTACTTCTTCACTTGTCCTAGTTTTACACCTGGGTGTCCTTAGCATGATGGGTCTTCACACAGCATACATCTGCTTAGACATACACATATCCTAGTAGAATTTTCCCACCCCGAATCATACTCAAATGGTTATTGATGGACTTGAAGATTGTTTTAAATGTATTTTCTTCTTCCTTTTCTTACTCCCCCCTTTTTTTTATAAACACACAAAGTTGTGAAATAAACAGTCTCCCCCCATCTCACTCTCTCTCTCTCTCTGTATCCTGTGTGACGCATATTTTTGTGTGTTTTTTTTTTAACTTATTTTAAAATTTTTTTCTATTAACATTTGCTGAGAAGGCAGAGCAGAGATGCTGCCAGCAGCCACAGTGGTACGGCCAGACTGATGGATCCATTTATTCCTCTCACCGACCCAGGTCCTGCAGAGCAAAAGAGAGAAAGAGAGAATGGTTACATCTGGCCCACTGTGTGTTAGAGCTGACTGCTGCCCTGTCAGAAGTGAGTCTGGTCTGGTAGGCACCAATGCCTCCAAGTCAGTGAGCTTATGTACAGATCAACAAGGCCTCACATTCCTTCCTTAATGCTTCTTCTTGAATTATAAGTATTTTAGGAATGATCATTGGTTCAAACACCTCTAAATACAAAATGCTTTCATCAGAGAACGTCCTAACCGAGCTATCTCTGACATGTCTGAGGGCGTGGCAGGCCCCTCCTCACCCAGCCTCTTCTTGAATGCTCTGCTCAGCATGGCAGCCAAAGCCAACACTCATTAAGATTCCCAACCATTGGAGCGGGTCCTTCTGCAGCCAGACACGGATTCCTCCTCCAGCCGATTTATCACAGCATCTCCATCAATAAAACATGGAACCAATCTGTGACTCTCTTGTTTCTCATGGGGGAAGCAGTAATTATTTATTGGTCACAGGGAGGAGAGATTTTTCCAAGTAATATTTAATGACTGGTGACACTTAAGCTTCAAGGTGGGAAATAAGTCAACTCATTGTAGTATTTTAAGAGGCAGAAGGAGGTCACCTGGTCCAAACTCTAACTTTGACAGTTTAAAATAAAAAATAAAGACAACAGCAGCAAGAACTGAAAATAACAAACACATACGACTTAGGGAGGTTAAGAGACAGGTCCAAACCAGAAATAAGACTAAGACTTGAAGTTGCCCAGAATTCAATCTGGAGTGGCAGTCTGTGTGCTATCCACTGCCACCCTGTTTTTCCCCAAGTAGACAGGATTTGGGTGTGTATGATTAGCTATAGATCCAAGAGAGAGGTTGGATTGGAAAGGAAAGTGGAGAAGCGATGGATGTGTTGACAGAAAGTGGAGAATTGGGGCAGAAAATGTTGCTCTGAAGAGCTTGTCTCCTATGCTTTGCCTGTCCACTCTCTCCTTTTGTATGGTTCTTCTGAAAAGATCCATTTTTAAAAAGAAAATAGTATTTTTTACAAATAAGACTTTGGGATTGAAGACTGTATGTTTAGATGATGACACTCAAAAGAAATATTGGTGTGACTATAATTACGGGTCACTGAAGTTTTGAGGCACATATGCAGATGAATCGGTGTGAATGAGTGTATATGTGAGTGTATGTTTAAACTTATGGTGGTTCAAGTGCAATGAAGCATATCTGTATGTGAATGTTGTCAAAATTGTCAACAAACATACCAGATTAGAGGTAAAATTACAAGGAAAGTGTGGAATTCAGAAACATTCTTCTATCCTATGATTTAAAAAAAAATAATAACAGCAATAACAACCAAACAAAACCAGTAGACAGTTAAGTAGCTCTTACTGCAAGGTACTGTTATAAATGCTTCACAAATACAAGCAGTCTACCATGTTGTAAGGCAGGTACTCAATGAGCCCAGTTTATAGGGAGGTAACAGAGGCAGAGAGAGATGAAACCTATTGCACACATTTACACAGTTGCCAAGCTGGGGTTTTTACCCAGGCAGCTGGCTCCAGTCTTTGCCTGTCACTGCTACACAAGTTATCCAGCGAAGGGGTGCCAATGAGTCTCTTGGCCAACCTTTGGCAAGTGAAATTTGCCTTTGTTTAAAACAATACCCAGAGCAAACAGATCAACATGAAGACATCCATTGTCTTTTTTTTTTTTTAAGTGATTTCAATAGAATATTCAGATAAAATGGTATCTTTCAAATATTAAAAAATATTACTATAAAATATGAATATATACAAACTTTGAACAACATAGTTATAATATAAATGAGCTTTATTATATGTAAAGATATAAAATTGCAGATTAAAATTTTAAATATTCAATCAATCTTTTAATTGTCTGAATGGCTATAGGATCATATTAATAGAAAGGCACTTTAGCTACCTTCAGATTCATGCCTTTCTTGAGGAGTTAAGGTTCAAGAGGATGATGTTTTTTGCCTGAAGAATCTGATTAGGAATCATCATCAAAATTCAAGTTTTCTGAACCTTACCCACCCCCTACCTGTCTCCTCCCTATTTGGCCCTGAGATATCTTTAAGTTCTCTTAATGGTAGCTCCCAGGGCTTCAGGCCTGATGGGTATTTTAGCACCTCTATATGCTGTAGGTGGCATGAGCTCAGTGGCATATTTGTTTGGATTAGTGTGTCAGTGAAGCAGAGAAAGAGTACACACAAACTTATACCATTCCTGGTTAAACAAATTTGATATAGGAATGCTGTGAAATAAAAACTCTAATTCTGCCTATTTCCTTAACTTTATTTTTAGTGCTGGTACAGACAAGATTATCATAAGGTCCTGGGAAATCTAAAAAGCCTAGTCTTACCATTTTTTAAAAATATATATTTTATTGATTTTATACAGAGAGGAAGGGAGAGAGATAGAGAGTCAGAAACATCGATGAGAGAGAGTCATCGATCAGCTGCCTCTTGCACACCCGCTACTGGGGATATGCCCGCAACCAAGGTACATGCCCCTGACCGGAATCCAACCCGAGACCCTTCAGTCCCCAAGCCAACGCTCCATCCATTGAGCCAAACCGGTCCCGGCTAGTCTTACCATTTTTAAAAAAATATATTTTATTGATAGTTTACAAAGAGGAAGAGAGAGAGATAGAGTTAGAAATATTGATGAGAGAGAATCATCGATCAGTTGCCTCTTGCACACCCCCTACTGGGGATGAGCCCGCAATCAAGGTACATGCCCTTGACCAGAATCAAACCCGGGACCTTTCAGTCCGCAGGCCGATGCTCTATCCACTGAGCCAAACTGATTTGGGCGGAGTCTTACCATTTCTTTGAAGGGCAGTAGATATTTGAGAAAGCAAAAAATCCATCATTGAAATATAGACATATATGAACCTAAATAAACATGTTTAATATAACATTTTGCTAATCATGTACATACATAGATACTACAGAAGAATGTTTTATTTTATTTTATTTATATCTATTTATTTTAAAAATATATTTTATTGATTTTTTTTTACAGAGAGGAAGGGAGAGAGATAGAGAGCTAGAAACATTGATGAGAGAAAGACATTGACCAGCTGCCTCCTGCACACCCCCATCGGGGATGTACCTGCAACCAAGGTACATGTCCTTGACAGGAATCAAACCTGAGACCTTTCAGTCCATAGGCAGATGCTCTATCCTCTGAGCCAAACTGGTTTCGGCACGGAAGAATATATTTTATATAAATATTCATATATATATATATATATATATATATATGATATACACTTGGTCTTTTCATACACATAATTGAGAGTAAACTGTCACTTTTACATGATATTCTATGTTACATATAGGGAATCCCAGTATATGACTATTAATAATCTTTAATTTTATTCTTAATATAATAACATAATTGAAGTGAATTTTGTAGATCTGTCAATTATTATTTTTAAGTGCTTTCATGTAGCTATTTGATGCACTTATATGACTTGCTCTTTTCATAGTTGGTTTTAAGAGTAAATAAATAGACTTGAAAAATGTGAAGGTAAATGGGAGACAGTTGGATAATCATCACAAGGGGCATGCAATTATTGATATGTATATATGACTGTGTAGGAGAGTACTTCAGTTAATGGCCATTTTGGGGAAAATAATCAGCCAAATCATTAATTATGTTTTAGTTCATAGTTATGAAATTTCTGCTTATTTGTGGAAATGCAAATGATAAAACTTATTTCCCACACCAGATGGCCACGCTTAGCAAGTATTTTCCTATACAGACAGATAGAATGAAAGCAAGAGTCTGCAAACATGAATTAGCCTGAAGAATAGATGGGCAAATAAAACCATAATTCTAAAACTGCTACACGCTTATGACATAACAGACGAATATTATATCTTGATCTTCAGTCACATTCTATATGTGTGTTTGTATATGTGTATGCACATGCTTACATGTGTGGTATCTAATAGATATTTAACAAATGATAGCAGAATCACTTATTGCTATTAACTATAAATATCTGGATTACAGAAAGGCACAAAATACCCCTGAATCAAAGGGTTAAGTTTATGAATTGATCATGGCTTTCAATGTTTGACCCAGAGGGGCAAAATTTAGCAGAAGCAAGATTGAAAATCTTGAGACAACTCACCAGGTCTAGGTTCTCAACCCCAGGACAGGATGATAAATGAGATTGTGTCAAGGTGAATGCTGGCTTACACTTTGCCATCATAATGCTTAAAAAAAGAATGTGTGACTCAGGACAAGATAGATACAACATCCTGAAATCGAGGAATGTGAGTATTTTTTTGGCAAAGTGTATATATTACAAACCTGATGCAGGATGCTGAGCCAATTGACCAATCTTTCAGTAAAATTCCAAAGAAAGAATAGGTGATTTTTTAACACCTTCTTCAAAGCACACACTCTAGTGAAACGTTGTGATTCAAATTTGGACAAGACATTTCTGTAGATCTCCTGGGTAGTGAGGGCTCATTTTATTTTTTATATATTTTTAAAAATATATTTTTATTAATTTTTTACAGAGAGGAAGGGATAAAGAGAAACATAGAAGAGAAAGAGTCATCGATCAGCTGCCTCTTGCACACCCCCTATTGGAGATGTGCCGCAACCAAGGTACATGCCCTTGACCGGAATGGAACCTAGGACCTTTCAGTCCGCAGGCCTGTGCTCTATCCACTGAGCCAAACCGGTTTTGGCAGTGAGGGCTCATTTTAAACCTGAGACTAGAAGTATTCAACACCCTCAGTGATAGTTGGAGATGGCTTTCATCCTCTAAACCATCGAGGTCAATCATAATTTTATTCCTGTACATAGTTCAGCCATACAAGAAAAAAGGGAAGGCCAGACAAGTTTAAGTTTGAATTACTTTTTATAATTACTAAGGGCTGACTGAGTGACTGAAAAACAAGACAAAAACTTAAACAATATAGTTATCACTTATTAAGTGAGAGAGAAAAAAAAAAAAAAT